CCATTTTCTAATTATTGCTCCCACAGTTGATTTCTGCACACCAAGCTGCTTGCCTATTGCAGGTCTACAATTTTGTTTCTGGTGTCCTTCGACAGCTCTTTGGTCTTCACCATAGTGGAGTTTGGAGTGTGACTGTTTGAGGTTGTGGACAGGTGTCTTTTATACTGATAACAAGTTCAAACAGGTGCCATTAATACAGGTAATGAGTGGAGGACAGAGGAGCCTCTTAAAGAAGAAGTTACAGGTCTGTGAGAGCCAGAAATCTTGTTTGTAGGTGACCAAATACTTATTTTCCACCATAATTTGCAAATAAATTCTTTCCAAATCAGACAATGTGATTGTCTGGATTTGTTTTCTCATTTTGTCTCTCATAGTTGAGGTCTACCTATGACGACAATTACAGGCCTCTCTCATCTTTTTAAGTGGGAGAACTTGCACAATTGGTGGCTGACTAAATACTTTTTTGCCCCACTATATATACGAATGCGTGAAAGTAAAAAGTTGAAGCTGTAATGTTATCTTGGACTGTGCTAAAAAAAGAGTCAGAAAATGCTTTTTTCTTCCCTTGTACCTCCTATTTTCTTTCCCCCCCTTTTTTCCTTCCCTTAATGTCCTATTTTTGTTTTTCTTTGTATTTTATACATAGATAAAATAATAAAAGCCTTGAGCAAATTGCACCACACTAAAAGAAGCTGCATGAACTTTCTAGGGGAAAAATGAGCTGTTAAAGAGAAAGGGACGAATCCACCAAAAGTTAAGGTGTATCGTAAGGCAAATGTTTTCGACCAATCGAAAACTGACGCAGTCTGTAGCATATATGAATACCTGTTTTGAGGGAATGTAGGAGGGGGGGTTGCTTTGTGATTCTGATCCCAAGTGTGAACTGTTCTGTGCAGAAATAAAGTTCTTAATGGGTTTCCACCCACCTCCGTGCGATTATTGGCTAAATTGCACCAGGTGAAATGAATCGCCCACCTCTGCGCTGTGCCAACGAGGCTTCGTCTGCCTGCCTTCTCCATAATAGCCCTGTGAGGTTGGTTGGGTTGAGGAGGAACTAGAACTCAGGTCTCCTGGTTTCTAGGCCAGCACTTTAGCCACTATATCAAACTGGCTCTCAATTTGTTCTAAGACATTTAAGTTCCAAACACACACCGCTTCCCTCTGACCCCATAGAAGCATTTGCTTTTTGTTCCTTAGAGAATTCACTGAACAATAGATCCACCCCTCCCCCCAAAACCAAAATCCCATGGAAACATTTCTCAATGGTTGCATTTTGAATGAATTATTGTTGTGACATATATATTGTACATTTAAAAAAAATTCCTTCTCACCCTATGGGTGATGTGTTTTCTTCAATCTCTGGTCCTCTATCAGAGGCCTGGGCATTTGAGGGTTCTGCCCAGGATCTTGGCTGTTCTTAAGCCTGCACTTTTTTGAAAGAGAGCTCTGGTGTTGTTCCTGAGATCTGTTGGAGCCATTATCCCAGCTTAGGAGTCACAGCCACAGGCACTCCTCCCACCACTGGGACCACTTTGATTTTCACTTTCCACATCTCTTCTTCCTTCTTTAGGCCTTGGTACTTCTCCAATTTCTCATACTCCTTCCAGATGTTGGTGTCATTTGGTACCCATACATATATCGCCATTACTGTCTTCTGTCCTTGTCCACTACCATGATGTCTGATTGGCTAGTACTTGCCAAAGTACCACAGGATCTTAGTCCTGTTATTTTCCATGACGTTCTGTTGACTCTCCCATCTGGACATAGAGGATCTGGCACATACAGTGTGCAGATGTTGCTGTACACAATGCCAATTACTTTGCTGGGCTGTTCAGAGTGTGCTGTTTCTGTGTGTCATAGAAACACACTGTGTTATATCTAGCCACTATGCGTTAGACTGTCTCTGAGGCCTCTCTGCATAGTCTGCATTTGTCTAGATAGTAGACCACTGCTTCTATGGGTCATGTACTAAGTGCCCGTTTTTGTGCTTCTATGATCAGTGCTTCAGTTGTGTTTCAATCTAGCCCTTTCCAACCACTGCTAGAACTATCTTCCTGAACATTTTCCCACAGATGAAGCACCCACAAAGACTTTCTTCTCAATAGATTTTCAGATGCTTATTTCTGGCAGAAGGAAAATGGAAGGATTTTCTCCTGTGTGAATTCCTTCATGTTTGATAGGCTTGTCTGTTGCAAAAGTTGCTCTTCCCCAAGTTTAGAGCATAGGCAATTTTTCTCTCCAGAGTGAATGACCTGATGTGTAATTAGGTTAGAACTGCGGGTGTTTCCTCAAGAGAGACATTTGTATGGCTTTTCTCCTGTGTGGACTTGCTGATGCTTATTTAGACAAGATTTCACCCGGAAGCTCTTCCCACATTCTTCACACTCAAAGGGCTTCTCACCTGTGTGGATCCTGTAATGTCCATGTAGATGGGATTTGATGTTGAATCTTTTGCCGCATTCAGGACAGCCATAAGGTTTCTCTCCAGTATGGAGACGTAAATGGACATTAAGGTTAGACTGTTGATGAAAACGTTTCCCGCACTGAACACACGGATATGGCTTTTCCCCGGTGTGGATCCTCTGGTGCGTAATAAGATGCGAAGGCCGATCAAAACCTTTCCCGCACTCAGAACAGGAAAAAGTCTTGTTCGATACTGTGATTTCTATAGGGGGCTTCCTACTCACAATTTTAATTATTTTTTCTGCTTCAGGAGCTGCATAAACGCGTGTCCCTTCTGGCAATATTGCTCGGGGACCCTCTGATTTGATCTCAGATGGTCTGGAGAGCTTGGCAGCTCCTGTATGGGTTCGTTGGTGCTTATTTAGGGAAGATTTGACACGGAAACTCTTCCCACAATCTTCACATTCATAAGGCTTCTCCCCTGTGTGTATCCTATAGTGCCCATGTAAATGTGATTTGATACTAAATCTTTTCCCGCAATCGGGGCAGCCATATGGTTTCTCTCCAGTATGAACTCTTAGGTGGACATTTAGATTGGACTGCTGGTCGAAGCATTTCCCGCACTCAATACATGGATATGGCTTTTCTCCCGTGTGGATCCTCTGGTGTTTAATTAAGTTGGAGCGGCGATCAAAACTTCTCCCACATTCAGAACAGGGATAATTTCTTTTTGATACAGTAGAACCTATTTGGGAGCTACTGCTGGGCATTTTCTCGTCAGCCTGAGAAGCTCGTATCAGCTCCAGGAATAACACCTGCCGTTTTCTGGATTTGACCTCCACTGGTTCAGAAATTTTGGGATCAAAGAACACATCCCACTGTGTTGGCTCCTGAAGTTGCTCTGCTCCAAACTCTTCTTGATGAATTTTTTTTCTGGTAGGCAGGTTTTCTGCAAGAACAACAAAGTTTTGAAGACAGAGACAAAAGAAGTACAGTCTTGGTTTCAATAGGAAGATCCTGGTAGTTAATCTGTGATGCAAAATTATCCTTGCCAGCAACATAATGACAACAAATGATATTGGCACAGACATTATTTTTTTGGCAATCATTAAAAAAAATAAGGTCTGCAGGAGCTGCCAACATATAAATGGAAATAACTTTTCCTAACTTGACTTTCCAGCTCACTCCAGAGACCAATGGCCTTGGGTGCATGAGAGGTTGGTAACTACAGTTCAAAAATATCTAAGATACAAGAATGGGAAAGGATGGCCACTAATGGTTGAAAGGATCTCCCAAGAATTCTTAAGGCCATGTTCATTCATTTGTTTTTTTCTGGGAGGCTGACTTTCTGCAAGGAAATCAAAGATAATCTGTTTTGAAGACAGAGGCAAAAGAAGTAACAAGGGAATGGCCAGCAAAGCCAGAAAAGGAAAAAAATGTGGACTTGGTTTCAATACCAAACTTTGAATTATTCCTTAACATTCTTTAATTATGGAAAAAACACCATTATTTGGATTCAGGCCTGAAATGCGATATGATAGTTTGATTTCTAGGCTATTTAATTCACTATCAGTAGTCCTCAACTTATGACTGGTCCTAATGACAGTTGAAATTTATGACAGACTTCAAGAAAGGTAATAAGGACCCATTCTCAAAGTCTCAACTGTTACACACACACACACACAGTATGCTATTCTACCCCATAGTCACGATTGTATTTTGGCTGCTTTTCAACCAGGTGGTATTTACAACAGCTTGCAGAGGCCCACAGTCAGGTTTCTAAACATTTGGCCTGAAACGCTTGGCTAATTCAGTTAAACCACCATTCTTTCTTCACCTATTTTTAGTATGCCATCCCATTTATTTATTTTGTAAAATTTATATAGCTGCCTACTCACTCACAGTGACTCTAGGCGGCTTACAGAAAATAAAAACACAATGTAGAAGGAATATAATAGAGAAAAATAAAATGATACTATAACCCCTCACTCCCCCTCAGCGACAACACACACCGCTATCAGCCATTTAATGGGCTCCATCCCATTCTAGATTCTCCAAGCCCACTGGCAAAATGGCATCTTCAGGGCCTTACAAAAGTGTTAGAGTGTGGGGTCCAGTCTAATTTCTGAAGGAATAATATTCCAAAGGGAGGGAGCCTCATGGAGAAGGCCTTTCTTCTGGGTCCCGCCAGATGTACCTCCTTAGGGGATGGGACCCGCAACATTCCTTGCCTCCCTGCTCTAGTGGGTTGGGTGGATGTGACTGGCAAGAGAGGGTCCCTAGTCCCAAGCCATGAAGGGAACTATCAAAAATGAACAGTATAGTACAAAAATACCTCACTTCAGCTGACATTCTAGATTCAGAGGTAATAACAAGGATAGAAAATAGGTGGAAAAAATGAATTGTGATGGCACTGGAATATTTTCAAGAACACTGGAAAACTGCTGGGCTACCCCCAGGAATGCCAAATAGGCATGGCCTGCAGAGCATATTCGGTTCCAGAAGGCTTATGTTTTGCTCATTCAAATTGGAGAAGGAACCCAGATCTGTCTTAACAGTGTCATCTGTCCTCTTTCTTCCCACACTCATCTTCCCAGATGGCTTCAAAAACTCAAAACCCCTAACCCTAACAGCTCACCTGGAGAAGAATCCCTCAGATGACTCCTTTTCTCAAACTCCTGAATCATCCCATCTCTTCCGATCTGGAAGATCATGTCAGATTCACCATTACGGAGGCAGTCATATGGATATTGGGGTGGCAATTCTAAAATAAGGAAAAAAGTGAAGCCAGAGGAAATATTGGAAACCATGCAGGTAAAAAGACTATTACTAGATGTCTAAAAGTCATCAAAATCTAAAGCTTTACCTTCAACGATGACCAGTTTTTGTCAGGCTAATTCAACATATTACCATGCTGGAGCTGGCTAGGATTGATTTAGGGGCAACATCCAAGTCCTTCTGGGATGTTTTGCTGGCTACTATATTCTCAGTGGGTCTAATTATCTCACATTTTTGGTTAGCGGTCCAAATGTGTGCAACTTTCTGTGGTTTGCAGACATGAGACTTACCTTATTGGGTGGAGTTTAGATTTACTGGAACTTAAGAGTTAGGGCAGCTGCAATGGGCCAATTAAAATGGGCAAAGAGGGCTGCTGAATCGGAATGGACATCCCGCAGATTCTGCTGAGGGAATCCACTGGAATGGTTCAGTGGTTATTGTGAGCCCTCAGAAACACGTCTCTGATTTTGTACAGCCAACCCAAGTCCCTGACAGTGGGAAGTAATGAAATCAGTAGGGCAACAGTTAAGTTAATGGGGGGGAAAGGAAAAAGTCCACCAGAACACGAGCTAAACTGTATGCACTAAAGTAATAACATTGTGGACAGTCAGATCAATGTTGTATCTTCCAACTGCCATGGGTCTGGATGTGGGATAGTTGATTCAAAGTGCTTGACTTTGAAAAAACAAAGTAACATATGTAACCTAATAAGACTTAAAAGAAGTGGATTCTTTTGTTACAGAAAGACCTTCTCACCAACCACTGTTATGTCCTCCCAATTCACAACTCCTTCAACAATAGAGTCTTTTCCTTTGAATGTCTCAAGATCAGCTATCTGTGACTCTTCGTCCCAGTCGGGCTGGAGACTCGGATCTGGCTTGGAAATCAAAAGCTCTAGAGCAAGAGAAAGAAACATAACAAAAGAGAGGAAGATTATTGATTTTCTTTATAGCTACAGTCAGTTCCAGAAATATTGGGACATCGACACAATTCGAACATCTTTGGCTCTATACACCACCACAATGGAGTTGGAATGAAACAAACACAATGTGCTTTAACTGCAGACTGTCAGCTTTAATTTGAGGGTATGTACATCCAACGCAGGTGAACGGGGTAGGACTTACAGCAGTTTGCACATGTGCCTCCCACTTGTTAAGGGACCAAAGGTAATGGGACAGAATAATAATCATAAATCAAACTTTCCCTTCTTAATACTTGGTTGCAAATCCTTTGCAGTCAATCACAGCCTGAAGTCTGGAACGCATAGACATCACCAGATGCTGGGTTTCATCCCTGGTAATACTCTGCCAGGCCTCTACTGCAACTGTCTTCAGTTCCTGCTTGTTCTTGGTGCATTTTCCCTTCAGTTTTGTCTTCAGCAAGTGAAATGCATGCTCAATGGGATTCAGGTCAGGTGATTGACTTGGCCATTGCATAACATTCCACTTCTGTCCCTTCACAAACTCTTTGGTTGCTTTTGCAGTATGCTTTGGGTCATTGTCCATCTGCACTGTGAAGCGCCGTCCAATGGGTTCTGCAGCATTTGGCTGAATGTGAGCAGATAATATTGCCCGAAACACTTCAGAATTCATCCTGCTGCTTTTGTCAGCAGTCACATCATCAATAAATACAAGAGAACCAGTTCCATTGGCAGCCATACATGCCCACGCCATGACACTATCACCACCATGCTTCACTGATGAGGTGGTATGCTTAGGATCATGAGCAGTTCCTTTTCTTCTCCATACTCTTCTCTTCCCATCACTCTGGTACAAGTTGATCTTGGTCTCATCTGTCCATAGGATCTTGTTCCAGAACTGTGAAGGCTTTGTTAGATGTTGTTTGACAAACTCTAATCTGGCCTTCCTGTTTTTGAGGCTCAGGGAGGACCAGAGATCTCTTCAAGAAAATTGGAGATATGAAGGGAACGTTTCATGCAAAGATGGGCATGATAAAGGACCAAAATGGCAGGGACCTAACAGAGGCAGAAGAGATTAAGAAGAGATGGCAAAACTACACAGAAGAACTATACAAGAATGAGCTTAATGTCCCGAATAACCACAATGAGATGGTCACTGACCTCAAACCAGATATCCTAGAATGTGAAGTGAAATGGGCCTTGGAAAATCTGAGCAACAACAAAGCTAGTGGAGGTGACAGTATTCTAGCTGAGCTATTCAAAATCTTAAAAGACGATGCAGTAAAAGTGCTACACTCAATTTGCCAGCAAATTTGGAAAACTCAACAGTGGCCACAGGATTGGAAAAGGTCAGTTTACATTCCAATTCCAAAGAAAGGCAATGCCAAAGAATGTTCAAACTATCGCACTATTGCTCTCATTTCACATGCTAGTAAAGTTATGCTTAAAATCCTACAAGCTAGACTCCAGCAGTATGTGGATCAAGAACTACCAGAAGTACAAGCAGGATTTCGAAGAGGCAGAGGAACTAGAGATCAAATTGCCAACATAAGCTGGATCATGGAGAAAGCTAGGGAGTTTCAGAAAAACATCTACTTCTGCTTCATTGACTATGCAAAAGCCTTTGATTGTGTGGATCACAACAAATTGTGGCAAGTTCTTAAAGAGATGGGAATACCAGACCATCTCATTTGTCTCTTGAGAAACCTATATGCGGGTCAAGAGCAACAGTGAGAACTGGACACGGAATCACTGATTGGTTCAAAATTGGAAAAGGAGTCTGGCAAGGCTGTATACTGTCGCCCTGCCTATTTAACTTATATGCAGAGCACATCATGAGAAAGGCAGGGCTAGATGAAACAAAAGTTGGAATTAAGATTGCCGGGAGAAATATCAACAACCTAAGATATGCAGATGATACCACTCTAATGGCAGAAAGTGAAGAGGAACTAAAGAGCCTCTTGATGCAGGTGAAGAAGGAGAGTGCAAAAGTTAGCTTGAAACTCAACATTAAGAAAACCAAAATCATGGCATCCAGCCCTCTCAATTCCTGGCAAATATATGGGGAAGAAATGGAGGTAGTGACAGATTTTATTTTTCTGGGCTCAAAGATCACCTCAGATGGGGACTGCAGCCAAGAAATTAAAAGACGCTTGCTCCTGGGGAGGAAAGCTATGGCAAATCTAGACAGCATACTAAAAAGCAGAGACATCACCCTGCCAACAAAAGTGCGTATAGTCCCGGCCATGGTTTTCCCAGTTGCAATGTATGGCTGTGAAAGTTGGACCATAAGAAAGGCTGAGCGCCAAAGAATTGAGGCATTTGAACTATGGTGCTGGAGAAGACTCCTGCGAGTCCCTTGGACTGCAAGGCGTTCAAACCGGTCAGTCCTAGAAGAGATCAACCCCGACTGCTCTTTAGAAGGCCAGATCATGAAGTTGAAACTCAAATACTTTGGCCACCTAATGAGAAGGAAGGACTCACTGGAGAAGGGCCTAATGCTGGGAAAGATTGAGGGCAATAGAAGAAGGGGACGACAGAGAATGAGATGGCTGGATGGAATCACTGAAGCAATAGGTGTGAACTTAAATGGACTCCAGAAAATGGTAGAGGACAGGAAGACCTGGAAGAACGTTGTCCATGGGGTCGCGATGGGTCGGACACGACTTCGCAATTAACAACAACAACAATGGTTTACATCTTGTGAACCCTCTGTATTCACTCTGGTGAAGTCTCCTCTTGATTGTTGACTTTGACACACATACACCTACCTCCTGGAGAGTGTTCTTGATCTGGCCAACTGTTGTGAAGGGTGTTTTCTTCACCAGAGAAAGAATTCTTTGGTCATCCACCACAGTTGTTTTCCGTGGTCTCCCGGGTCTTTTGGTGTTGCTGAGCTTACTGGCGTGTTCCTTCTTTTTGAGAATGTTCCAAACAGTTGTTTTGGCCACACCTAATGTTCTTGCTATCTTGTTGATGGGTTTGTTTTGTTTCTTCAGCCTAATGATGGCTTGCTTCACTGATAGTGACAGCTCTTTGGATCTCATCTTGAGAGTTGACAGCAACAGATTCCAAATGCAAACAGCACACTTGAAATGAACTCTGGGCCTTTTATCTGCACATTGTAATTGGGGTAATGAGGGAATATCACACACCTGGCCATGGAATAGCTGAGAAGCCAATTGTCCCATTACCTTTGGTCCCTTAACAAGTAGGAGGCACATACACAAACTGCTATAAATCCTACCCCGTCCACCTGAGTTGGATGTACATACCCTCAAATTAAAGCTGAAAGTCTGCAGTTAAAGCACATTGTGTTTGTTTCATTCCAACTCCATTGTGGTGGTGTATAGAGCCAAAGATGTTCAAATTGTGTCGATGTCCCAATATTTCTGGACCTGACTGTATATAACGCAATAAAGTGTCTTATCCAAGGGCAGGCTTGGTAATTAGCTAGCTCAGAATTCTAATACAGGAACACCTCATAAAGGTTCATAGGTGACAGATTGGAGTCCAATTTCTTTTCTTTTTTTTATAGTGCCCTGATCAGAATATTGTTTTTCTTAATTGTTTCTCTGGTACTATTTCCTGCATGGTGCAAAATGATACTGAACCTCTTGGTCATCTCTGAGTTGTTTGTGGGAAAACAACCAAGTTCAGAGAATACAAAGAACCAAATAACTTAGAATTGATCACTAGTGTAGTGTAAGTTAAAGCGCTGGACTAGATTTGGGAAGAACCAGGTTAAAGTCCACGCTAAGACATGGAAACCTCAGGGAACCCTGCATCTGTCCTTTCTCAGCTCAATCTAACACAAAGGTCTGCTTTAGAGATAAAACGGATTCCCAAGTAAAATGTAATTTGCTCCCGGATTATTACATTTGCTTAATAAATAATAAAAACTCGCAAGGTCCGTTGTATAAGCAAAATGGAGTTGACAGCTTCAGAAAAGATTCCATGATCTTACAGGAATGGGAACATTACCTAAAGAGGTTATGTTTTCAGAATTTTCTTGCAGGACGGTGTAATACAATATTCTTTGCTCCTCATTTAGAAGGTCCCACTCCTCTTGGGTGAAGTATACAGCCACATCCTGGAATGCCACAGGACACTAGAAGAGGAAGAACATTGAATAAATGAACGTCTACTATTCTGATGATTGATAACCATGCCATTTAGCAAAAATATTCAATAATAAAACCTGCTGCATCTTGAATTTTTAATTCCATAGCTAAGTTTATATAAAGCTGTCCGGTAATGTTGAAGCAAGGGCTCCCCTAACAAGTAGCAGGGTACAGATTAGAAATGTAACCATACGCCTACAACTGGGATACAACTTACTGTTTTAACTTGTGGTTCTGATTTGTGGTTCAGCAAGCTATAGAAAACAAGCCACTCACTTATGTCTTAATCCAATGGCCTGGTTAAGATAACAGAGCTATAAGATGTTATATGATAGGATATAGGATACTAACCCAGGATTTGTAATTAGGAAGGTCTGAACCAAGATATTGGGGTGTATTTTATATATGTAGCTCTCCAAGTAAGAACAGGCTTTCCTAGAAAGTTGGGAACTGTTATCAAGGGAAATAAGTGTTTAGCCTTCCCTCTTTCTACTGCCCACTCCATTTGTACCCTATTGCAGGACAAATTCAGATGGATCCAGAATCCAGCCCACCAGAGACCCTTTCTTGCTTTACCAGTGCTTGTGGAAATGTAAAAAAGTACATGAAACATATTATCATTTATGGTGGACATGCCCAGTTGCGAAAAAATACTGGACTACAATAAGAAGATGGATTGAAGAAATAATAGACCAACCCGTAGACTGGAAACCAGAGATCTTTTTGCTGGGTATTTTAAACAGAAAATATAGTAAAGAAATATGGTACTTAATTTTACATATAATAACGGCGGCAAGAATAGCATATGCACAGTGCTGGAAAAATGAGAATATACCATCAGAGGAAGAAGTGATAAGAAAAATCCTGGACTGTGCTGAGATGGACAAATTAACAAAAGAGATAAAAGAAGACGTAGAGTACTATATAACATGGAACAAATGGTATGACTGATTGGAGACTAGAAATAATAGAGAATAAATATGGAAAGGTCAAAAGTGAAAATATGTGTATAATAATGTATAATAATATTATGAATTATTCTTAGTAAGAAGTAGAATATGAAGGAAGAAAAATGTAAAAAAGAAACAACGGGGCAATAAGGACAAATATTCTAAAGAAGAATAAGGAGGGAAATGTAAATAATAGAAGATTACCATTACATAATTGCTGTTAAAAAAGGGGGGAGGAGTGTATACTGTGTGTGTATGTGTGTTATGTTTTGCTTTGTTTTGTTGGTTAAAAATAAAATAAAATTAAATTAAAAAAAATGTAACCATACGCCTACAACTGGGATACAACTTACTGTTTTAACTTGTGGTTCTGATTTGGCAAGCCATAGAAAACAAACCACTCACTTATCTTAACCAGGCCATTGGATTAAGACATAACAGAGCTATAAGATGTCATGTGATCCTAGGATACTAACCCAGGATTTGTAATTAGGAAGGTCTGAACCAAGATATTGGGGTGTATGTTATATCTGTAGCTCTCCAAGTAAGAACAGGCTTTCCTAGAAAGTTAAGAACTGTTATCAAGGGAAATAAATTTTTAGCCTTCCCTCTTTCTACTGCCCACTCCATTTGTACCCTATTGCAGGACAAATTCAGATGGATTCAGAATCCAGCCCACCAGAGACCCTTTCTTGCTTTACCAGTGCTTGTGATCAGAGGAACAACAACATTTCTAGCATTAGACCAAGAATCAGGGTCCCTTTCTTATCAACAAGAATACCTGTTGCTCCAGGTAAGCTTCAGCCAGCTGAGCTGCCTCCTGGCTGCTACCTGGCTTCCTGGCTCTCACCCAAGCCTGCATTCCCAAAGGAAGCACATGCAGAAACTGCTCCAAGATGACCACGTCCACAATCTGTCCCTTGGTGCGGTCCTGCGGTCTTAGCCATCTCTGAGCGGCCTCTCCCAGCTGGAACAGAGTCTGCCAGGGACTTTCTCCCAAAGGAAGAGCATCCAAGCGAAACCTCTGCCTGTTGTACTCCTCAATGTCTTTGAGCAGGGCATCCGTGTCCATCTTGACCTCCCCAGGGATGCCAACCGGTTCCTCTTTCCCAACGCAATGGGCTTCTGGAGTTTTCATGGATGCTGTCCAAACAGATCTTCTTCTACACCAGCCACCCAGTTGATTCACTGGGGCCCATGAAATTGCTTCCTCTGCTGGGATTTGGGAAAGTAGAAACGTCTGTGGGTCCATCTCAAAAGAAACTTTGCAACTAGTTTTAGGAGAAAAGGAAAATACATCTGACTTATTGGGCACACTGAGAACAAACATAGCAAAGGGAATGAAAAATTGAATCCATGATAAGCAAAAGCAAGATACAAGGCATGTAAAATACTTCATAAGTGACTGAGTGGGGTGGGCAGAGAGAAGCGTAGACACACCCTGGATGCTTTGTCTATTCTGCCCCTGTCCAAAGTGAAATATCACCACAATCTGCTAATTCTGCTACCTTGTTTCCCCTGTACGTAAGAGGGCCCGGCTGCTTGGTATCCAGTGCTGCCTGGAGCTCCCCTGTCTATATGATGTTCTCTCTAGAGAGAAAAACTGATTTTGCAACGCAGATTTTTTTTTCTATACTCAGAAATCTCCATCCAGTTCTCTCTTTCCAGATTGGAGAAAAAAGCTGGTCAGCAAAGCCGGGACTCAAATGAAACCCCGGGCGTTGTGCTTGTCAACCCCTCCACCGCCACCCTCTTCTCTGACTGCCCTGCAACCCGGCCAATTTCTCTGCTGGTGGGAGAGACTCCGCGAGGCTATGAATGACTACACAAAGAAGGACTTGCAGGCGGGAGGCTGGGCAAATGAAAGGAGGGGGACACCCCCCCGTTTTCTATCTGCTCAGCCACGTGTCAAGAAGCCTTTTTAGCCGAATATCTAGAGAAGGCAAAGACTTCTTACTTTAGGGTTAAGACAAAAAGGAGAAAGAGGTCTCTGCTAGACCTCCTTGCATCCAAATAGGACGGTCGTGCAGCGGAGCAAAATCACCGCAACTTCCCAATAACCCGGAAAACAAAACAGGAACCTTGCATGATGTTCGCAGCGAAGAGGAAAGCTAGCAGGTACTTCGGGACTAGCCAAGAAAAAGCCGAGAGCCCTCTCGTGGGCAAAGGAAAGAAACGTTTTCTAGTTTTGCCTCTGCTGAGTTACACAAACCGCTTTCCACCCATGATCCTTCAGTGGGCAGAGGGCTTTATTTGCTTGGCATAGAGCAGCGTTTCCCAAACTTGGCAAAGTTAAGAATTCTGGGAATTGAAGTCCGCACGTCTGAGAGTTTTAGTAAGATTGAGAAACACTGGTTTGGAGGCCTCCGTGGTGCGCGCGTGGCAAATCAAGGCAGATAATCAGCAGTGACCCCACCCAAACTTCGCCCTGTTTCCTTCTGTCCCTCTGTTGAGAGTCACGTGTATCTTTAAAAAAAAGAGAATACCTTATGTCGCGACGCTGCTTTGGGCATTCAGATGAATGCATGAAATCCTGCAAGCACCACTGCATTGCGCACCCTGTACTGTAGTGAGCGAAGGTGCCCCGTTGGGTACTTTATCTCCATCTACCAAATTATTTCCTTTCAGGTGTGGAATAAAGGAGGGATCACTTGGCAGCTGCTTTCCATCTCCATTATTATGCCATGATTTACAGCAGTGTTTCCCAAGCTTGACAATTTTAAGGCATGAGGACTTCAACTCCCAGAATTCCACTGCCAGCAACGCTGGCTGTGGAATTCTGGGAGTTGAAGTCCACATGCCTTAAAATTGTCAAGTTTGGGAAACACTGGTCTAGGGTGCATATAGATTACGCTGGGCCCTTTCAGGGGCAATTCTTCCTGGTTGTCATTGACAGCCATTCTAAATGGCTAGAGGTTGTTCCTGTTTCCTCCACCACTACTGCCAGGACCATCCAGGTGTTGAGAGGAATTTTTGCATCACACGGCTTTCCAGATGTTCTGGTTTCCAACAATGGTCCCCAATTTACTTCTTCTGAGTTCCAGGCTTGACATCGGCTCCTTTCCACCCATCCTCCAACGGAATGGCTGAGAGAATGGTGCGCACTACCAAAGATGCCCTCAAGAAACTGACTTATGGTAACTGGCATCACAGGTTAGCAGATTTCCTTCTCGCACACCGCACTACACCATACACTGCCACGGGGAAGAGCCCTGCTGAACTCCACTGGGGTCGCCGCCTCATCACCAAGCTGGACAGGTTGCACCCTGACAGGGTGGCTTCAAAGGTGTCATAACCGCGGACACCTGATTTAAAGAATAGGCTGAATCTAGTGTTGAAGGAAAAGTAAGGTGACCAACCGTCCTCCTTTAGGGAGTACAGTCCTCCTTTTGTAGGTTCTGTCCTCCCTCGAAAAGTGTCCTCCTACATGTCCTCCTTTTCAATATTTGAAGACTAATCTGCAGGGCTTTTTTTCCATCAGAACGCTCAGAATGGCGTTCCGGCACCTTTTTATGTTTTTTTTTCCAACTTTTGCATGAGCTGTGCTACTCCGGCTATTGGCTTTCGAAAGCCACTAGGAATTGCTGCTGAGCACGCCAAAACACCCGGCTGGCAAACTTTGTACATGCAAGCTATCTGTATTACTGTTGCAATGAATAAAATGTTTCTTTTATTTACGATATTTTTTTCTTCAATTTATTTATGTCCTCCTTTTCATGGTAAAAAAAGTTGGTCATCTTAGGAAAAGTCTTCCTCATGGTTCAGTCCAAGCTGGGAATAAACAACATGGCAACTGCTTTAGAAAGAAGGTTGCCGTTTATTGAAGAGGAGAGCCAAACAGGAAGATGGCTCTTGAAGAAAAAGAGCGAGAACACATGTGGGGAGTGGGTTTTTATACCTTCTTAAGCCTTTTATTTGGAGTTGTTCCTGTGGCATGAACTTTGACCTGAGTCTGAGTGTGCCTTTCTGGTATTCTGACGGTGGTGGGTTAATCCCATTATGTCCCAAAGGTCAATCCTGCTGACAAACCACAGTCCTAGATCGTCCAGAATGAGGGTCAGGAACGCAGGAACTTGGTGCACATTAGCAATTTTATTTACTAACTAACAAAGTAAGCACTGGGGATAACTTCTCCCCAGAGCTCTTTATAGTGTGTCCACGCCCATATCCCCACCCTCCACCCACAAACCACCATCCGATTAATTATCCTTATAACCCCACCCCTGTGCCCTAACCGCCCTCCCGGTGCAGCCCCACCCCCCATGGTCCAGCGTCCGCCTGCCTGCTGTTGCTGCCGCATGTCTGCTGCCTTCAGTTGCAATGGTAAGTTTATGTGCTTAGTTGCTGGCCAGTCCTTTCCAGCCATACAGATAGTAATGTGCGCCTCCTGTGCGCCTCCTCCCCTTCTAGGGCCGCGCTGGGGTTGGCTTGTTGCTGGGGAGGGTGCTCCGGGTCGGCTGCGGGACCCTCCACTGCGTCGGAGAGAGACCGCACACCGCCCGACATGTCCAGCCGCTCCCCGTCTCCCTGCTGGCCGGCAGTATCCAAAA